GTGCGTTTCACATGGCCGTTTTTGGCGTGTGGCATCGGTATGCAAATTGATACTCTAGTCGAGTATTGAATGATTTGGGCTCCCTGCGTGTTCAATAATGGACTTGCGATGTTGATTCGTAAATATATGCTGTCAGTGAACAATCCAATTCAATTTAGACTTGCAATGTGAGGATTGGTTACCACTTGTACATGTACTCCCACACATGTTCAATGGGGTTCAAGTCGGGACTCAGCGGTGGATGAGTCAGTATGTAAAATGCGATTTCATCAAAGAAATCTTGCACAATCTTCGTCTTGTGGATCGGTGCATTGTCTTGCATAAACTCAAAGTCCACGGGAAGTGCCAATTTCACGAATTTCTCAGGCAAACTCTCCTCGTTCATGGCCAGGTAGTCCGTAGACTTCAACCTTCCATCACAGAAAACAAGCGTTCCAGTACCATTGTAGCCAATAGAACCCCAAATAAAACAGTGTGACGGCCACTTTTGAATGTCGGAGCAAGGCATTCTACTGAGAACTGGTCGACGCCACACAAAAGTCCGTCCATTCGATCCCGACAAGTTGAAGGGACTTTCGTCTGTCCAGAGGACCTTTATAATAGTCTTCAATGCAACGAAGCAGGTGATTCCGGGCGTACGAAAGTCTCTTCAACTTGTTGGCCTTCGAGATGAACGGCTTGCGTCTGGTTGCGCGACCATGTAAGCCAACTGCCTTAATGCGTCGACGGTATGTAGAAGTCGAAATGTCCTTGTCATGAAATACTGCGAAAGTATCTTTCAACGATTCGGCACTCAGCCGGCGGTTTGCCTTGACTGCCCTCGAAATAATGCGGTCCTCATGTGGTGTAGTAGCAGTAGGACGTCCAGAAAGTGGAAGAGTTGTTGTTTGGTTGAGTGTCTTGTAGGACTTAACAATGCTTTGGACAGTCGACTTAGGTATACTTAAACATGCGCCAATTTTGCCATATCCAAGACCTTCAAGGTGCTTTGAAATCACTAGGAACCGGAGTTCTTGGGAGAGCTCCTTGCGCGCACGAGGATAGTTGACAGATATTCAAAGTCGGACGGTATGCTAAGGTAGGCGATGCAGTGCAAGTTGATAAGTGTTGTGAATGTTAAACGAGCTCATTTGACCCTGTACTTCAATAGGAACGACAAAAAATGTCCATGGGTACGAAGACTTTTGGATTGAAATATTGGTATCGCATGTTTTGCTATGAAGCCCGCAATTCATCCGATCTTGTTCAATCTGCGTCACATTGATCGAGCACACGTTAAGGTTTACGTCAATGCTTTGTTCTTGTTGAGGGTGTTATTATCGTAGTCGACGTTGACACGTGAACAGGAACATTACTAGGTGTATGAAGACTTTTGACACCCACTGTACATGGCGCGAAAGCTTTTCAAATTCGTGGACAATTTACATGAGAGACAGCACGTCCAATAATTTTACAATGCCGCCAAAGCGCCGCAACCAAATCAACCCTCAGAGGAGGCCAAGGTGACGCTACTCACGTGCTGTCGAACAGGACGTGATCGTCAAGATGCAAGGGCCTCCACACGCGACATCAAATTCATAAATAAATCCCAATGAGCAACGTATCTCGATGGATGCGACAGGCCAATCAGCCCCCCATCGTCGGTGGCATCAAGAAACGATACAACCTTGACGGAGTTGGGAAGCCTGAAGAGATTCCCAAGACTGCCGAACTGAAGACATTTATGCACAAGCTCTGCAATGCTAGAAGAATGTCATTTGCACCCAGATCATAAACTTTCTAAAGCGTAACCAGAGTGGCTCGACCCTATTTGGCCACAAAAAACTATGGGTTTCAGTCCCTGCTGAAGCTCCAGCAAAAACTTTGCTCGCACCACCGCTCCCAGCGACATCGGCCAACGAAAAGAGATCGAAGCCAGATGGACCTCAAGGTCACACGATGGGACATTGCTCTGGACTTTTACAAGGCATTCAACGGCTTTCGCAACGATACAATCATCAACGTGGGCGAGACTGGTATGACCTGTGACATTATCCTAATGAAATTTGGTCTGCTCAAAATCGATGTTCAAGGATTGCAATTGGGCACAAACTTTCATATTTTTTGACCGCATTGCTTGGTGTTCACGCAAACTTACAAAAGCTGCCGATCCTGTTTAACATGAGACGGGTACCCAGTGAAAACATCGAGTCAAACGAGTTCGGTAAGTTTCCAGTTGGCCACCACTACGCCATCGAGGAACGCGGCTGGATGAATTCTCGCATATGGCCGTACTATGCTGCAAGGTTCTGCGACACCGAGTGCGTGAGCTTTTATTCTGCTGGATGGCAACTTGATTCCCATGTAAGCAAGGAAGGACTTAATTTTGCCAACGAAGAGCTTGGGTGTGTCGTGGCTGCCATTCCACCCAACGCGACATCCAAGGGCTGCTATGCAGCCCTTGTATGACGGGATTATGGTCTAGCCAATTGAAATTCCATGGGATTCAAATCGATCTGCCACCACGACTTTGTATCGCACTCACATTGCGCAAAAGATGTGGGGTAATTCATGCGGAGAGAGTACCCCCAGTCTTCTTCCTGAATCTAAGGATGGGAAAGAGCAAACACCACACACGTAATCTTGCCGGTAATACATAGCGCATCAGTTGCGGTCTCGACTTGTAAGATCTACCGAACATCCACAGGAAACGTTTCCCGGCATCGGAGTCGAACTTGGCTCTGTCAAGCTTCACTAGACTGGTGCCCATGTGGTTGTTTCTCTCGATCATTGCCTCCTCATATGCGTGGAGATTTTGTGCTTGTGTGTCTTGAAGACCCTGGCGCACTTGGGATGCCGAGGATTCCAGTGTCGAACTGCGGTCGCGAGGTTTGCGACCTCAGTTTGAAAAGCGACACTATGCTCGCTCATCGTTGTGGCTTGGCCCTCGCTCTGGTGGATCAATTCTTCGAGGGTTCGACCTTCTTCGGTTAGCTGGGTGATGTGAGCTTCGAGGGGTTGTGTCGAGGTTTTAAGGGTGATAGTGATACCTTGAAGCAGTCGCACTGGGGCAACGACAAAGAGAGGAAAAGAGCGACTGGATGTCTCCTTCGCCAAGGATTTTAAGCATGCGGTCGTATACCGCTTGATGGGAAGCTGAGATGGTCCTCGGACGAACTTGTAGTGCTACCAAGTGTGGCAGGGCACAAGGAGTTAGTAAAAATGAAGATGGAATGGGCAGGGTTATGCTGCCTATTTCTACTGATGGAACTTTTGGAATATGGAAAGTTAAAGCCACTCCT